TTTTTTTTCTCTTGATTTTGGGTTTCTCTCTTCATCTATGGTATTATGGGTTGGTTGTCTGTTTTTTGTTTTGTTTTCTCTTTTTCTTGTTCCATCCGCGATCTGGATCGGTCTATTCGTTTATATATATATATTGGTATTGGATAATGTTTAGTCCCATAGAGTGGGCAAGCTAAACAACAGGCTCAGCAAAAGGGAGTGATGTTATGCGCACTTTTTTTCTGCTCTCTCTCTCTTCGGAGTATCTCTCTCGACAGGCGAATGTGGACATCGCCCATGATTCCCAGATTATGATCTACTGTTAGGTTTCATCTAAATTGTTATATATCAAGCACTATATTTTGAACGGGCAAAGCGGGGCTACCCATTTTACAATAAGATGATGTACTACATACTATATAACTAGAGGATCTGCAGAAAAAAGAAAGATATAATCATGGATGAAGAAGTGCACTGTGCTAATTATATACGAAGTATGTCGGCCAACCAAGTGATTGCAACTGCTGGATAGATCGATAGAAACAAAAAGGCTTGATGAACAGGACGCATAGATTTCAATATCAAATCAGAGACCAATGGAAGAATAAATCACTGGCGAGCCTCGAGACCAGCCTTGATGCCTAGGAAGTAGTCAGATTAATAATATTCATCTTTCCTTTTCTTTCTTGTGGAGAACTCACTGTCGCAAGAGGCTTTGGCGTCGCCGAACAGCATCTTTGTGCCGGGCATATAAAACATGGGATTAGGAACATCAGCTGGCCAGTTAGTTAGTCATTTCTCTTCATATAGCTAAGAGTACCTTGTTCTGGTCTGGGTCGTAATAGAAAAGGACGTACCGTATCCACTTGACATCCCGCGCTTCATGACGATAACCTCCTTACTCTTCCAGGCATGGAGCACAGGCATGCCGGAGATGGGCGAATCGGGTTCCAGGGCGATGGGGTTGACGGTATCGTTGGCGCCAATGACGAGGGTGACGTCCGTGTCCGAGAAGTCATCATTGATCTCGTCCATTTCAAGGACGACTTTAGAGACAGTAAGGTTAGAATGGGCATAGAGCGAGCCAGAGCTAGAAGACTTACTGTCGTACGGCACCGATGCTTCGGCCAGGAGAACATTGCACTGGCCCGGCATCCGACCCGCAACGGGGTGAATGGCGAAGCGCACCTTGACGCCCTTGGCGCGAAGCATGCGAACAATTTCAGCGAGAGCATACTGCGCCTTGGCAACTGCCATGCCATACCCGACGATCTTTAGAAATGACAGAATTAGATAAGGCTGGGTTTGGTTGGAAGGGAATATCTTTGCCACTTACGATAATCACATTCTCGGCGTTGACGAGAGACTCGACCGTATCGTCAACCGTGGCTTGGACGACCTGTCCTTCTATCTTCTTCTGGGTGTGGTTTGTCGTGGCGATTCCACCGAAAAGAACATTGGTGAGTGATCTATTCATAGCCACGCACTATGTTATGGTGGTTAGCATCTCTCTCTCTGCATGCCCATCTCTCCTAGCTTATCGCTTACCATGATATATGAGAGAATCGAGCCGCTGACGCCAATCAAAGACCCAATACTCGTCAACAACGGATTGTTAAGCATGAACCCTTCCGCGACCAGAGCGAACCCAGAGTAAGCATTGAGAACAGTAATTACAACGGCTGAAAAGAACTGTTAATATGATATCTCATAGAGGGAAAGTGAAGAGGGAAAAAATGAGAAAGAAAATCGTACGCATGTCAGCTCCACCAATGGCCGCCGTGGTGGTAAAACCCTTGAGAAAGCTCAGGGCGGTGTTTGCCCCCAGACATGTCGCTGCGATGACCGGTGAAGCAGGGGCCAGAGTAACAAAGGCGCCCATGGTAACGACATTGGCGCCGAGAAGGCTCGAGTTGATGACATGGCGGCCGGGGAGGATGGTCGGTCGAGACGACATGCGGCCAGCGAGCTTGAGGAAGGCAACGATAGACCCGGTAAATGTAACGCCACCTGTGACCCTTGAGCTTGAATCCTAAATTTTAAGGGAAAAAGAGAAGACAGAAGGTGTTTATACCAATTAGAACTCCCAGATACGCGGTGACCATGTGCAACGTCGAAATGTCGGAAACATCAGCCATCACACTTCCAATGCTGGTCAACACCGCAGCCAGGCCAACCACGGAATGTAAAGCGGCAACTGTTTGGGGAAGTCCGGTGGGTGTAATACGGCGACCGATCAGTGCTCCTGAAGTGTGGTTAACCTATATTCTCTTCCACGGTTAGGAGAAAAGAAACCCAGGCACCTACCAACTAAACCTCCAATGCCTGCAACGGCAACGAACTGCGTCAAGGTCTCAGGGGAAAAGCCCACGGCAGCAAGCGAGGCAAGAATACCAGAGGCTACGCCGAGGATACCGAAGATATTACCCCGTCTAGCGGTTTGCTGAGAGGCTAGGCCGGAAATCGAGCCTGGATGGTTAGCTTAGTATTCAATTCCTGAACGAGACCAATCTCATTCTGGATCGAGACACTCACCAATGCACAAGAGACTGCTGATAAGATACCCTGCCTGCACCAGACCAGCCATCCCGGTACTCGCCGCGGCGAGGAAGCCTCCACCGAACACAACGGCAGGGATAGCATAGAGCCATGGGTATTCCGGGGGATCTGTGGGGCCTGCCTTGAGTTAGAGAGAGACTCAAGGAAGAAAGGGTAGATGTAGAAAGGGCAAGTAGAAGGAAAGAAGGTAAATCGGCCTGACTAACGTTTGAACATATCAAGCATGCGCTTGGTCACGACGAAACCTCCAGCGACGTTGACAAAGGCAAGCAACACAGAAATAGCGCCAAGGGCCTCGGGTACAGTGGTAGGCACATACCCACCGCCCATGACGAAGAGACCGCCGATTCCGACCATACCTAGGAGTGTTAGAACAATAATACATACATGGAGATTGGCTACTAGAAAATACCAGAGATGGCATTCGTGACACTCATCAACGGAGAATGAAGCGCAGGCGCCACCCCCCACACGGCGCGGTAGCCGACCAGACCAGCCAAACCGAAAGTGAGCATATTGCTCATGAAGATCGGACCGGTGACCTTGCCCAGGGCAAGGGCGGTCCCCATGCTCGCAGTAACGGCGGTGACGTCGCGAGTGGCCTTCTGCCATGGAGTGACAGCCAGTTTCGCTTCTTCCTGTTGGGCAGCAGCCGGGGCGGCCGTCTTGGGTGGCGCGGGGGGAGGCATGGGTCTCGGCGCTGGAGGGAGGACCTCCCCATTCAAGGTGACGATCGAGCCGCGGACCACTTCATCGGAGAGATCGACGCCAAATGATTTGTCCTGGGGTGTCATGGACAGGAGGTACTTGACGATGTTGTTCGAGTACAGGGTCGACGCTTGTGTAGGCAGACGGGATGGCAGGTCGGTGTATCCTGAAAGCTGTGTTAGACAAACCGAGCCGACACAAATCAAGAGCAAAGCATCTGGATAGACAACTAAATACCAATGACTGTGACGTCTTTGTATTTGGCCAGTTCACCGGGGACCGTGGCCTCGCAGTTTCCACCCGCCTCTGCCGCCAGATCGACGACAACAGAGCCAGGCTTCATCGCAGCAAGCATCTAGTTTGGTATTATTAGCCACGGAACAGGTTCTCTTTGATATTGATTGTTGAAAGGAGTAAGTTTCTCTTACCTGCTTGGTGATGAGCTTCGGAGCAGGCTTCCCCGGGATCAAAGCGGTGGTAATGACGATATCGACCTCGCGACACTGTTCCATGAACAGCTTCATCTCCGCCTCGATGAATTCCTTGGACATCTCTTTCGCGTAGCCGCCCTGACCGGCGCCATCCTCCTGGATCTCGACCTCAATGAACTCTGCGCCGAGAGACTGCACCTGTTCGCGTGCTGCCGACCGTGTATCGAATCCACGGACGATAGCTCCGAGGCGACGCGCCTAAAATGAGAATAGAGAGAATGTGAGTGGTTTCCGGCGAGATGATTTCATCCATTCACCAAGCAGAGTAGAGTTACTTACCGCTGCGATGGCACTCAGCCCGGCAACACCGGCTCCAATGACGAGCACTTTACTCGGGGGAATCTACATCAGTGAGTGGCTGAAATTTTGATGTATTCAAAACCGTACCTTTCTATAATTCATTGTTAGTTAATCCAAGAGGCATTTGGTGTAGAACAGGAGTCTTCTTCTTACCCAGCGGCAGTGACCTGACCAGTCAAGAAACGACCAAACTGATTCGAGGCTTCCAGCACAGCCTTGTAGCCTGCAATGTTCGCCATAGAACTGGGTTGTCAACTTATCTGACCAAAACGAGAAATAAAATATAATTAAACAGATAGATAGAGATAGATGAAGTATAAAAAGCAGTATGGCTGTGATAAGAACCTACCTCAACGCATCAAAGGTCTGAGCCCTCGAGATTCGCGGCACCATATCCATTGCAAACGAGGTGACTCCTCTCGCCGCCAGCTTGTCGACGAGGGGCCTGTTCTGGGCGGGATACAGGAAGGAGACGACCGTTGCACCCGGTCGCAGCAGGTCGACCTCGTTCTGCTCTCCCTCCGCAAGCGGGGGCCGCACCTTGAGCACGATATCGCTCTGTGACCAGACGGCCTTGCAATTGACGAGAGTCGCGCCGGCTTTCTCGTAATCTGCGTCGGGGATCTGGGCGCCCTCGCCAGCACCACGTTCAACGAGAACCCGCGCAAACCCTTTCTTAAGCAGCAAGGCGACATTGTTGGGGGTGATTGCTACGCGGCGCTCGTTCGGGTACGTTTCACAAGGCACCCCGACGGTCAACGCAGAGTAGGGAGTCGAGGACACCGACGAGGCGGTCGATTTCGACGACGACGATGACGACGACGACGATGATACAGTGCTAGCGAGTCGTTTGACGGTCGGCGTCCATGGCTCTAGTACCGACCGTGTCTTGTAGTTGGGGGCCGTAAAGGCAGGAAACCGACGTATCCGGATTGCTGTCGGGAAGAAAGAGTTAATAGAACGAATCAGTTTCACAACCCTCAAGTCATCCTCCGAGGGCCTATTTTCCTTCTAGTGATAAATAGAACATACCTGACTGCCGGGCGAGCACTGAGAACACTCGACCTGGGCGTAGCGCGGGGCGCACACAGAGCGAGACACTCATTGTTGCGATCGACGGGACTCACGAGGCTTCATCTAAGCAACTAATAACGTGTTTATATCGGTAGTTAGTAGGTAAGTAACTAGTTGGTTTGGTAGGAAGTAAGTAGTAGGTGGTGGTGGTAGCTATTTAGTAGGAAGGGGCATCAACAAGGCAGGTTTCCAGCCTGGAGAGTCCGAACGGGAAAAGGAAAGAGGAGGAGGAAGAAGGAGGGGAGGAGGAGAAGAATGAGGAGTCATTAGGGATACGTCAATGCGTACCCTGCCCCTACTGCAAGGTCAGAATGATACCCTGTTGTATAAGTGACTCCGTCGGCGCCATTCCCTGTGCCTGGTTATTTGTCTGCGGGGGGGTGTTGCTTACTAAGGTCAGCCTGAGTGCGGAGAAGCACATGAGATAGACTGTATTACTTGTATATTCCTGGTTATTTCAAGGTATGTGTGGTAATATATATTAGAAAATATAATGTAGTATCACCCTTTAATGGCATTCCTATACTATACTGCAATAGTTATCTGATTTAGCCCAGATCCGAGTCTGATCTTGATTAGATTTGATCAGAGCCAGCATACTCTTACTACTACTACTATTATATTGTTAGACTTGGGTTAAAATCTTATTTCTAATATTACACTAATCTTTGTTGATTCCTAGTAAATACCTAGATTAGTATTAATACATATGAATCTAGGGCCGTAGGTAAAAAGTAGTCCTAATAATATCTTTTTATATCGGTTGGAAATAAGAGGGTAACAGGCATGTAGACTATATATTCCTAGGAATTATTGACTACTATCGATATATATATGTATAAATATGTATAAATTTAGAAGACCTTAGGCTATAATAAAGCAGATATTTATAGAAGCTATAATTAATTAAGATCAGTTTAAAAGGACATATGACTATCTTTTTATTTGGTCTAATCTTTTAATAGTCTGCTTCCTTACACCCTCCCAGCAATTAGATATAGGGCATATATGGTTATATACACTCTCCACATTGGCGCTGAAGAGTGCTTAATAAAGCATTAGGCAAACTTACTTAGATGACGCTCCATTGAGCAACAGCGTTCATTTCGTTAGTACCCCGTTCAACTGGAGCTACAGGCGCACTTGAGATGGTAGCGGCCATAGGGGCAAGGCAGAGAAAAAGAGGTAGTCTTGGAGGAAGACGATCTTTCGCTGCGCTTTCTCACCTTCATCTTGCAGATATCCCTTTCGATATTCCCCCAATTGGCATTCTTAGCTTATACAGATAAATTAGGTTGTATGTTTGGCAAAAACCTGTGAAATAACCCCTTCATCTGGTTCGGCTCAAGATCGGACGAAGATAAGCACTACTGCAAGTTTGTCACGACGGCTGGTAGTGGAGGAGTTTAGATTACCTTCTTATATCGTGAGGATCCAATTAGTCTGATAAAACACCAACTAATTGGTCCTTTTTAATAGCTCTCGAGCCGTTCAAGCTTAAAGTTAAGACGATGGGTTCTTCAGATGCATTGTTGGCGCATATGAAGTCGAGATCGACGAGGCACTAGCCATGTAGAGCGGAATATTGAGATGGGCGATGTAATACTTACTGAGGCAGGAAAAGGGAACATTACCTTGATAGTATTCATCATGTTCAAACAGAAAAGAATCCAGTATTCTCCAGTCCATGCGGATGAGGATGAATCGCAATCCCTGCCATCAAAACATCAGACCAGCCGCATCCAGACCCTGGAAATCAGTATACTGTCTGCCTATGCTTTGGTCCTCACAGTCCTCTATGCTCTCACAGCTCTGAGAGACAAGCCCAGTTTCCTCGGTCAAGAGTGTAAGTCTGTCCGTTCATACCATAGCACTATCTAGAGAAACTGAATAAACAGTCCCGACTAAACAGTCCCGACTAAGCCCGTCCTCTTCGCCCTGACTCCCGATACACCGACATTTCTTCCTCCTCGGCATGGAAATCTTTAATCCCTCGTATGATTGCTCACAACCATCAAGAATAAAACAAAATAAACACTAACTAATACCTCTACAAGCTGGTAAGAGCTTCATCGCGGTCGATAATCCTTCCTCCCACGGTTTATCGGGGGGATTCCCCATTCCCGGACGGGACAGCGAGGGATACAGTCTCTCTCTCTTTCACCAACTCTACTGTCTGGTTTGTTTCATAAT